AATATTAATTTAATTAGTTCCCGGCCTAGATTCGATCAGGGGTTTTCTCGTGGAAGGCAGATGCATCTGTCCTCATCTTCACCGACACTTTTAGGATTTTAGTTTTAATACTCGTAATTAAATGACATTCACACAGCTTGTAACTTTTGTATAGATCGTCCAATTTCTCCAAAAGGTCTTTTTGATTGGCTTTCATTGCCCATATCCTAGCCCTGAAAAAAATCATGTGTTTAGGTTTAAATAAGTTAATTATTAGACTATCATCTACACAATTAAACAAATTTAGAATTCCTAGCTCAATAGGAAACTTTAGCACCTAGGATGAATTAATAAAAATAAAAACAGCCTAAATCTAACGTAAGTCAATAAACGAATCTGTTTATACAGGGCGTAATTGTTCCATATTTTAATTTGTGTTATAGACGTTTTTTGCCTGGCAAATAAAAATTTATGTTTTTTTTAATAGAACACCCTATATTTTATTTTTAGAATTGCTTGTTAACACTATAATCAACCCTAGCATGTTTTGAAAAAATATTACAGTTTTGCCAAACAATTATTTTTTTTTTTAATTAGAGAATGATGCTAACCCCAAATTAAATTATCATAATTTAAATAGGTTTACACTGATTTAAAAATTGTTAAATATACATACTTATATGATACTAAGCTAACGAATAGTGGTGATAGAACTGGTTTATTTTATTCAAAGTGTTTTGAAACGTGCCTTAAATATGGCTAATTTTAAGTTCAATTTACTCAATTTTTTTTAAATGTATATTATTTTGACATAAAATTCCTAATACATTTACCTACTCAACGATACCAACATGTTAGCCAATAACACATATACCTATGTCCCATTAGTGCGTAATGGATTGATAGCTGTTTTATTATTAGAAATACAAAAAATGGATTACCCTGTATCAATTAGTCGGTGGTATAATTTATAGGGTATTCCATTTAAAAACGTGAGAAAACCGTTACTCCCCATTTTGACACACCCTATATACCCTATAGCAAATAAATGAAGTCTATTAAAATGGTTTGACGATGTGAAAACTATCAAATATGTATGACTGACTACCTGCAAGGTGTTTTGCTTTAAAAATGTATAAGTTTCATCAACTCCCCTCGTTTATGGAACACCCTGTATATTTAAGAATATTTATTAAACATGGTCATACAAATTTATATGTTTTTTTCGTATTTCCACTAATAAAACAGCTATCGATCAATTACGCACTCATGGGATACAAAGTTTATGTGTTATTAGCTAATATTTTGGTATAGATAAATAAGCAAATTTATAAGGGATTTTAGGCCAAAATAATATACAGGGTGTTTTGTTTGAAAAAATTGAGTAAATTCAACTTAAAATTAGCCATATTTAAGACATGTTTTAAAACACTCTGTATAAAATAAACCAGTTCTATCACCACTATTCGTTAGCTTAGTATTTTACAAGTCTGTATATTAAACAATTTTGAAATCAATGTAAACCTACCTAAATTATGATAATTTAATGTGGGGTCTGCATCATTCTCTAATTAAAAAAAAATGAATTGCTTGGCAACACTAATACTTTTTAATACATTTTAGGGTTAAATACAGTATTACCAAACCATTCTAAAAATAAAATAAAATACAGGGTGTTCCATTTAAAAAACATACATTTTGATTTGCCAATTCAATATTCAAAAATATTTTTAAAATATGTATTTTTCAAATCCATATAATTTTTATTTAAAACTTTTTTTGCGTGTCTACAACACAAATTCAAATATTGAACAATTACGCACTAATGGGACATCCTGTATAAAATATATTATTATTAATGAAAATTTCTTAGAATGTGGTACTTACCGGTTTGGGTCCTTGGGAAAACGAAAGAATGTTTTCTTGCAGGTTATTAAAACAGCTTTTGACTGCACAGACAGAATGATGTCTTTTTTTCACTCATTCTACTCACAGTTAAAGAGTCACCAAAATAATAACAGTACCTTTAACTTGACACAACAGGCAGCTCAAACAAAATCAACGAAATTATAGGCTCAACGAAATTATGCAATCAACGAAATTATACGAACGGCTCAATCCTTACCTAAGTACGATTCTGAACGCCAAAGCCGTCTTTTCCGTCCGAAGGAGGAGCTTAAGCAATGCGCGACGGAATCGACGCAAACCGTTGCCGCCAAGAGAGTGTTTTAGCTGTATTGTATAAGCTGTGATGTTTGTTTATTTTCAAACAACAGTTTATTTATTAATAATTTATTTAAACACTTATTTATTTTAAACAATACTATTTTAATTTATATATACTTCGAATGTCTTTAAACTGATCACTATTTATATTCACCACTGTCTATCTACTAATTACTATTTATCTACACTGTCCATATCACTACTGATTGCACTGAGTTCTTCCGCCAATTTATATACAAATTTAATAAAATGGTGGAGGCTCCAGAACGTTCTAGTAATTTTCACATATTCTCTCCAATACACTAGAAATATTATCTCGTCCTTTCTCGAACATCATCGAAAACACGTCTACCATAGTCGTCCCATAGGTTTGGTCTTAAGGGGTTCAATTATGTATAAAAAGCGGACAAGTTGAGCCTTAAAGGCCAAATAAGACAGAGAGGGACTTGTAGGGTTAGAGCATGACTGAATAATGAAATGGCTCACATAACAATACTATACAATTCGAGTGGTTTGCTTGTATCGCAATTAATACTTTATTGAATTTTTGTAGATCGTATGTTTTAAAAATAACACGAAACGGAACATACCGTAGCAAAGTCAGTCTTCACAAAACTTACGTTTTCCAATAATTAATTACTTATGTACGAAAACAAACGTAGTATTCTCGAATCAAGCCCTTTATTAGTTATTATTGTTTTTGAAATTGTAGGTGTTCGTTTTCTGAACTATTTACCCTTAATTCTAAAATAATATTTGCATTAGTTTTAAAAGGGTTGTAATTAACTGAACAGTATATAATTGATTATGTACAGTATAAATATTACAAGCAGTCAGTAAAATATTGTAAAAGACTCAGTACTTTTATAAAATATAATGAGTAAACAATGAATTTTGGAGCAGTAAAATTATTATTTGGCCTGTATTTCTATGTTCACTTTTGTAACTATAATGGTCAGTAAAAATTAATGAAATGTCAGTATGAATTAGCCGGTAATAATTCTACAAATGGTCAGTAAAAATTAATAAATGGCCAGTATGCAGCAGTCGGTAATAATTTTAAAAATGTGCATTAAATAAGTAGTATTATGTTTTTAGATCGAGTGTTTCATGTTTTTGAGCTACCGGTTTGCAGCAAAGAAGAAACTGAAGATTTTGTTTTCTGTTTAAAACAATTAAGTCTGCCTGTCAGGATATATTTCAAAAATCAATTGCCCCAAAATACACTCGCGTATCGGAGACAACACTAATGATTTGTAATTGAGGTGGTGGGTATGTTTGTTTGAATGCGTCTTGTTTGTTTTCATTTACTAGCAGTAGTATTTTATAAACCATAGAAGCAAATTTCACATACATGAACAAATAATATTATTAATGCCGTGACAACAAGAAGAGAAAGCAAAGACTTCTCGTAAAACAATTTTAATCCATTTCTGGCTACGCCGACCGGCATAAACACCAACGGCCTGGACACAGCTTACCTACTCTGTCAAAAGGAGACCGATGTACAAATAAAACGCGTATTATTATACTGACCATTTATTATTTTCACCGACCATTTAATATTATACTGATCATTTATTATTTTTACTGACCATTTATTATTTTTACTGACCATTTATTATTTTTACTGACCATTTATTATTTTTACTGACCATTTATTATTTTTACTGGCCATTTATTATTTTTACTGACCATTTATTATTTTTACTGACCATTTATTTTTATACTGACCATTTATTATTTTCATCGACCATTTAATATTATACTGACCATTTAATATTTTCACCGACCATTTATTATCATACTGACCAACTGAAATAAAATACTGGAAAGATGTACTTGCCATAAAATTTAAATAATGATCATTTAATTTGTGCCCTTTCTAATTATACAAAAAATGCACACATAATGTCGGAAAATTAATACAACTTGGCATCAATGGTTTATATTCACTATACGTTTTGACCTGACTTTCGTTAGCGGAAACCGGTAGCATTTAGAGAAAGTAGTTTTGAGTAAAATACTTTATTAAACATTAATTGAACAAGGTTGGTTTCCAAGATATGTAACGGTTCTCAGTTGTGATTTGGTGTCTTTTCAACTCCCGCCTTAAAGTATGCTCACACACTTACTCAATAATAAACTTCTATATAACCACTATATTATAGAAAATTTGTATTCATAAAATACTTAGAAAACGTTTTTTTGTACATACCCTGTTAGTTCTTCATAAACTTCAGAAATGTATGGTTACGCTCTTAACACGCATATGTAAATTCTTTTTCAATCACTTTATTTAACTATATAATTTCTTGAAATAAATTAGTAGATGAGTGTATTATCAGCTCCAACGAATTTCAAAACGCAAATGAACTTTCAACCTAAGTGCAAGCTTGTTATATAGTATGATTTCATTCGTGTTAAATCGCGTATATCCGTCAAATACAGAGCAAGTCAAAACGACCCCCTAAATCTGTTTTCGTTTATTTTGACCCCTAGGAAAACTATTTTCGACACCAAGGGGTTGGTATCGACCACTTTGGGAATCCCTGATCTATATCATCCTGTATTACTCTGAAGTAACTATTTAATATATATGATGCTAAAATTCCTGAGTAATCTCGAGGAAGAAACATTTTATATTTGATACCTTATTAAAAACCTGTGCTACATCTAAGAAGATTGTAGAACATATTTGTTTACTCCAAACCCAAATTGATGTGATGGAATCAAGTTTCTGTTTTCAATGAATTAATAATTTGTTATTTAAATAATTTATCAATTTTTTACAGAGTATCGCCGACTCACCGTCCCACGAAACCTCGCAGCGGCATCGGGAGCGGTCGGAACCACCGCTCGTTTCCTCTCACCCAATTGCCCCTGCGGGTGGAGACCATACCCCCGCCTCAGAGATTCCAAAACGACCACAATGCTGCTCCTGTTATTAACGGTCTGCCTCCAGATCCGATTCACACTGCCACACAAACAACATTGGTGAGTATCAGACGCCATAAAAACATGTCAGTAGTGAAGCAAAATTGCTTAAATCGGTCATGGTTAGTGTTCCCAACCGTCCCGGATTGGCCGGGATTAACCAGGACTGAGAAAGTTTGTCCCGACCAAAGTTATACCTTTGCCGGGACTTAAAAAATCCCGGAATTCTAAAAACTTAATAAATAAAAGAAATGCCAATGCTACGATGAGCGGCGAGTACCGCTGCCCATTTTTGTCTAGCCAATGAAAACGTGTAACGTCATAAATGAAATTCATGTACTCCTGTGATGTGATAACTAAAAATGTTTAAATTGGCTTCTTACCTAATTTCGATACCTGTCTACAATGCTTTCTGCGAACGTGTTTTCATTTAACATTATGGAAGCACTGTGGACCAAGCAAAGAAATCGTCTGAGTACATGTCAAGTAAAATCAGAAATACAAGTAAGACTAAATTTTAAAGTGTCAGGACTTTTTGGATCTGGTTAAAACAGATAAAAAAAAAGTACTTGAAGCAGTTCGATCTCAACAAAAATATAGATTTAATTAGTAGTGGAGAAGTTTTAAATTTGTTGTCTCTTGTTTTTATTTTTGTCAATAATAAATATTAGTTTTTTTTTGTTAAGCAGATACTTACCGTTCCTAGGTATCAATGGTATTTCTGTTATGTTTGAAAATGAAAAAAAAAAATGATTTAATATTGATATTTTTTCCGCGTTAAAAAATGCACACCTTTTTTCTTACATTTTAAATTACCCTTATAATGAAAGAAACAAACAGGGAGACTGGAAGTCGAAAAAAGAAGGTAATCTCAAAAAATTTTCTCCTGCAATCAGCGCGGCACTTTTTTTTTTTTCTGTAACAATAGGTACATTCTAAATATATCCCGGAATATCACATGTTCAAGTTGGGAACCCTAATCTAATCATGGTACGAGTAAAAATCCGCTAATTTTTCTAGTGTATTTACGGCAAAAAAAGACGGCCCATTTTTATGTGCAACAGTGGTAGTTACAGTTTATTTCAGGAGATGAGATAGGAGGGCATCAGACCACTTTGGTAACGTATTTATCGAGTACTCATATTTATCAAGAATTTCGGTTTAAAGACGTTGAAGAAGCCTGTGTAGGAGTCTCGAAAACGAAAAAGTGTTGAAGGAGTGACCTAGGACCATTTTTGGTTGTAGGAGACGTTAAAGATTCCTCTGAAGACTCGATGAAGAATAGGAGCTGAAGGAGTGACGTATGGCTATCTTCGGTTAGGAGAGACATCGAGTAAACCTCTGTAGACACGAAAACTAAAAAGCTAAAGAAATGACGTAGGACCATTGAATTCTTTCAAGTCGCAGGCGTACGTAGGACCTTTCACCAAAAGGAGACAAAGATATCGTATTTAACAAATAATATGCGCGCCCACATTTGATGTAAAATGTCATTTGGACGTAAAACCTAATAAAACATAAAAATTTCCGTTATTATTTTACTACGAATGACATTTTACATTGAATGCCTTATTTGTATTTTTCAAATCGAAGCAATAACAATGAAAATTTTTGCTTAAACCGTTTTGGAAATACTACTGAAAATGATAATTTGCTGTAAATGTCTTGTCCCGTTCGAATCCAACGAATAATAGCGAAATATACGTTAATGACCTTTTGGCTATGCTACTGCGCATGTTGATGGTCCTACGTCACTGCTTCGTCTTAAAAGAACTCGATGGTCCTACGTCATTTCTTTGTCTTGGAGTCTTCAAAAGATTCTTCAACATCTCACTTAAACAAATATGTCATACCTTTGGCGCCTCTTCTTCGTCCTCAAGTCTGGAAAAACTTTTTCACGTCTGCTCTTACCGACGATAGTCTTACATCACTCCAGCTCCTCATTTTCGTTACCAAAGTGTTCGATGTTCTCCTTTCTTATCAATGCTTTTATCAAATAAAAAATACAACTTTTATTCCAACAAAAAAATTTCGTTTTCTCGACATAACTAGTGGAATAGTTTCCAGCGATAGGTATGGGACTATATTTCAATTCTTGCGGGGTTTGAAATATGTGTTTTTAAAGGTATTTTTACTAGATTTTGCGCATTCGAATAGAATATTTAAAGAAATACCACACATAACCAATAACCAGAGCTGGACAGTACTCGAGTAAATTGTACTCGTATTTAGAATTATATTCGTTTCTCAAAGTACTTTCATGCTGATGGGACTCATACTCGAAAAATTTCAAGTACTTTATATTTTAGAGTACTTAGTATTTCTGATTCTTACAGTTAACGAGTAACGAGTTCTAGTAACGACGCGTATAATAGTTGCTTGATATGGTTTAAAATGTTTAAAAATGCTTTTTCCTCATCGTCATATACTAGATCAAAAAAAAAAAATTTATTGTGTGATACTATGGTTCTAAGTCATTTTAATTATTGTGATGTCATTTACAGTCCTTGCATAGATAACTTAGATGCCAATCGAAATCAAAGAGCTCAAAATTCTTGTCTTCGTTACATATACGGTATTAGAAAATACGAAAGGATCAGTTATAAATTAAAGGAAGCTAATTGGTTAAATATGGAAAGTAGAATGCATCTTCATATGGTAACATTTTTTCATAAAATAATAATATTTAAATCGCCACCCTATATATATAATAAAATTACATTTGGCAGCGATGTGCACAATGTGCATACTAGATTTAGGGGGCATATCTCACCTCCTCACCATCGGACCTCTAAGTTCCAGGCATCGTTTTCTTATATGGTCTTTAAACTTTACAACCAGGTTCCTTCGCATCTAAAGCATCTTACATTTAGGGAAAAATATAATAATTACTTACGTACAGGTATTTGAGAATATTTAATTATGTTTAGTTATGTTTAATTGTGTTTAATTGTGTTTAATTGTGTTTAATTGTGTTTAATTGTGTTTAATTGTGTTTAATTGTGTTTAATTAAAGTTAATTATATTTAATTGTATTTAATTAAATTCAGTAGCATACAATGCGATATTAATTTATAAAAATAATTTAAGGGATAGCACTTTGTATCAGCTCTGCTGTCTTTTTTGTAGCATGATTTTATTTTAATGTATAATATGTAATTTTTTTTTATTTATTATTCTACGAAAGAACGTTATTATTATTATATACTAGTTTTAAAGTTTTAAAGTTGCTTGATATACTAGTTTTAAAGTATCCGATAAATGAAGTCCATTCTTCTTTCTTTTTTGGTTGCAAAGTTTTCAATTACTTTATTATTAAAATTTTCAATTCTATTTACAAAATGTTTTTCTGCGGACAACATCCTTAAAGCACTAAGTCTTTCTTCCTTCATTGTATTTCTGAGGAATGTTTTAATCCGTTTAAGCACTGAAAACTAGCGCTCTGCTTCAGATGTTGACATAGGTATTGTTATCAAAATACCTAAAAGTTTATGAGTTTCCTGAAATGTACAATTTAAACCTTCCTTATTTAATAAAATTAACATCGGGACAGCTCCGGAGGTGGTACTTAATTCGTCTCTCTGATATAGTACTTGTAATTCAGTTTTAAGCATATTTTTGTCTAAAAATGAATTTTTATACACGTTTCATTGAGGCCGAAAACTTCTCCGACATAAATAAATTAGAAGCGATCAAATGCCCAGAGAAGTTGAACCTTGTTTTTATTTGCAATAAAACGGCATCGCATATTTCTAAGGCTTCGCGTTTTCTGCTGTTCTCTTCAATTCGTCCCTTTTTTCTTATTGGTTCACCAGTTTCTCCTTGCGACATGTTTATTTCTCCTTAAATAAAGTAATGCTGTCCATTTGCTTCCGTATACCTTGAATTGCTGCTCCGAAATTCTCCCAATCTTATGGATGTAAAACATTTAAAATGCATTCAGCGATTGATTTGGCGTCGTGTCCATCGAGCTTGTAAAACCTCCAAAATTTCTCAACTGGTCGTCCTTTACACAAATATCTGAAAACTATAACTAATTGAAATTCACAAGCAACGTCCGTCGTTTCATCGGCAATCACTGCAACAAAAGGAGAATTTTCCATTTCTTTCCTAACTTCTTCTAACATGCACTCCTGAAGTTAATTTTGAGTTTTTTTGAGGTACCTTTAAAAGCTTTTGAACTTTAAATATGAACCTTTAAGTCGTGTTCTAATTCGGCGCTAAAATTCACCAGCTCCTTAAATATGCCTTTATTTTCCGAATTATCTTTCTCATCGTGACCCCTTAAAGCTAACTCAAAAGCTCCACAAAACCTTATACAATTTATAATTTGATTTAAAACATATCAATTCTTATCCACTTGTTGATTATGTTTAATTAGAGCATCACGATAAGCCGAATTTAACTGGTATTTTACATTTAACTTAGCAAGCATGGAAAAAACATTATTCATGTGCATTTTAGATTTTTTATGGGATTTCATTTTATCCCATATATGGACAAGATCGCTTGCCTTTTTTTGACCAAGTCTCGTCACCCCAAACAAAACACATACAAAACAAAACAGTCTCTATTAGTTTCTTCGCAACCACACAACTAATTATTTTTATCATAAATAGTTTTATTAAATTTACGACACCGCGATTTTTGCCCATTTCCACTTTGTTTTTCAATTTTTAAATCGGAAATTGGCCGGCCTAATTCTATAATTTGTAGTTTTTCTTCTAGCGAAAAACCACTAAAAGAGTTTTTTAAGACGCCAATTTTATTCATTGTCACAATAAATTAAATACTAGGAAATAAGATATTTAAACAAGTTTATCGAAAACAAAAAGACACATATTAACGTAACGAAAAACTTAAAAGCGCGTAAGAAAACTCGGTTAATTCAGTCAACAATGGACATTATCGAGAATCCACGATTATCTGAACCGTTGTAGGCCACATACTTTGATTTTCTTTTACTATACGGAGAATGGTCGCACTGCGCAGCTTTCTGAGTGCCTTTTAAAAGGAGATAGAAAACTCCGCCATTTTGATCCCTTATTACGTGTTGCCTA